GGGTCCTTTTCTGAATTCCAGGTTAGGAGACAGCTGGTTCTGATCAGTCCCTTGCTGCTGGAACATCTTTTTGGCGCATAGGGTGTCTGTTGAAGTGTGGTTTGTTGGAGATCTAAGGCAAGTTGTAACTTCAGTGGTGAACTCGTCACTGGTCCAGGTATCTGCTCAGGCTCTGAGGGCCCCTGCCCTCAGCTGCCAGGTTATAATTCCATAGATAACTACTATAGTCTCAACATGTGTCCCCTCCAAAACTCTTATTGAAATTTAGATGCCATTGAGAGATGGGACCTTTAAGAGGTGATTGGGCTATGCTTCACTATCATGGGTGGGATTGCTACCTTTAAAAAAAAGTCAAGTTTAGTCCCCTTTTGTCTCTTGGCCCTTATACCTTCTGCCATGAGATGATGCTACAAGAAAGCCTTTGCCGGATGCTGGCAGCTTGATATTGGGCTTCCCAGCCTCAAGAACTGTAAGCCCATATATTTCCATTCATAATAAATTGCTCAATCTGGAGCATTCTGTATAGCAGCACAAAATTAACTGAGATGTAGCATTCATATATTCAGCCACTGCTCTTCACAGCATAATCTTCTTGTGAGGCTAGATGGGTCCTTAGAACTTTCTAGCCCACAATGTAGCCAAACCAACCTTCTAAGCATGAAGCCTTGGATATTAATAAACATCCTGGGTCATCATCCTGGGCTCCAACTTTTCTCAAAATACTGTTATTTCTGGGGGCAGGTTGTGCTGGCCTGATCCACATAGTATATCAGGACCACCTTTGATGGGAAAGGTCTGTCCTGGTCCATAAATACCCCTGACTTTCAAACTCAAAAGAAAGTCATTAAGACCATGGTTCCTTCTCTCCTCATAGTTCCTGGTTTGCTGTTTAAATTGTTTTTCTTGCACTCCAGTGATGGGCTCTCAACCTTGTGGCATCACAGGAGGTCACACTATCCCTCTTCAGCCTGGCAGGGAGTGCTCTCTGGCCCTACCAACCAGGCAACACTTACATGGCTCCAGGACATCATTCTGGTCATTCTTTGGAAAAACAATATCTTTTTTCAAGGTGGCTTTCTCTTCTGCCTATTCCTTGAAATGGTTGGAGAAAATAATAAAGTTCAGCTTCAGGGTGACTTTCTGTCCTTCTTGTTCCTAGAAACAGTCAGAAGATTGCCTTAGTCATTATCATCTTCAACTTATAAGAAAATCTGTTTGAATTTTGAGAAATTTTCAGGTAAAAACATACTTCTTTATTCATCCTTGCACCTAAGCCTTACATGCATCATGGAAATCAGGCAGGGCGTGATTCTTGCCTCATTTGAGCTCAGATTCAATAGCCTGCCCAAGGCCCCACAGCTAGAAAGTGGTACAGCAAGTTTAGAACTCAAGTTTACCTACCATGAGATTCTGTCCTAAACTGTATGAAAGCCAAGATTGTGACTTTGAGGAACTCATAGTCTCAGGGTGCTTTTCCATTCCATTTGGCTCTAATATGTTAAAGGATTGTCTCTAAGAATGTGGCCTGGGTTTAAAGAAATTTAGTAATGTATACTCAGTATTTTATTTTTCAAATATCACAGACCTCACCTAGCTGGCTTCAGGCCTTGGGAGTTGGAGAGGGTGTCTTCTGGAGTTCTGGCAATGTAGCACACGCACAGTTTTGGGGAGTTCCTCTGTGCAGGCAGAGCAATGGCCATGTTCATGGAATGGGATTTGGGTTTAGTACACAAGTAAATGCACATATGGTGCTTTTGGCTTAGGCACCAGGGTGTAGGGTCTGGGGCAGGTGAACAGCACCCACACATTGTAATCCATCTCATGGAGCCCCTGGGCTGGTCATAGCTCTCAGCAGAGGGAATATCATCATTTTAGTTTTAAACATTTAAACATATATAGATATGTGGAGTATTAATATCTCTCATTGTGTAAGGGAGAAGAAATAGAAGAACCTAAAAGCTAAACGCCTTTTTTTTCTCTCTCTCTCTCTCTTGCCCTCTGGTCTGAGCTTCCAGATTCAACTCAGGTTTGAAATGCATTCTTAGTACAGTTGGGACCCTGAAGAGCTCCTCTTCTCCACTCTGCCCTATTCTCTCAATCATCTCTTCTCTTTTTTTTCCATTCCCTTCTCTTCCTTCCCCCACTTTCTTTCCATCTGTCTAACCCCTCCACCCTTAAAGTTCCAACTCTGCTTATGCCTGGTGCCAACCCTCACGCACACAGGAGAAAGATAGGTGGGAAGATTCTGGTCATTGGACCACTTGTGTGGAAATCTGGTTGCCAAATAATAAGTAAAAATACCCTACAGTAAAAAAGTGACTCTTTACCCTATAGCTAGGAAAGGGCAGCGTCCCAAACTATGAGTCGGGTCTTGAAGGGTAAAGAGAGTGTGCACTTTTGTCGTCTCTGGGTGCCTGGAGCACCCGGAAGAGGCAGCGAGGACAGTGGTAGGCATCCAACATGGGCGGTTGTTGAAGATGGGGAGATCCCCAGAGGAACAAGGCAGGCAAGTGCTGGCTCAGTGATCTCCATAATCCCAGAAGCTGCCCACGATTAGCAAGCTTTCTCTTGTAAAAAGACACCTGCTATATGCCCTATTTCATGGAGGTGAAAAAAATGACCCAGAGAGTCCCCTAGGGTGTGAGAAATGTCTCTTTTTCAACTTAATGGGGCACCTTGGGATTTGGTGATTTTTAGTAAATACCAGTTAAGCCCTGTGGTCCAGTTTGCCGATCTGCTTAAATTCAGAGTTTAATCTCCCATACAAATGTGGTCAGCGGAAAAGCATCCAACAGAAAGTACTCAGAACCTTCTCTGTAAACACAATTAGAAAGTCATCATACTGTGTGTTGCGAGCCTGGTCTCGGGCTCTTGATCTATTTCATCCTCTGTATGTCCACAACAGTTCCAGAAGGTCAGTGTGGATATGCCCATTTTTCATAAAGAAAGCTGCTGTTACAAGAAGTGATGTCACTTGCCCAAGAAGGCAAGTGATTGAGCTGTTTTGCTGGCTGTCCCTCCTGGTGGCAGACGGCTCAGTGCTGCTCTGACCTTCAGCGTGGTTACCCCATCCGTCCTCTGCCACGTCGTCAGTCTGGCTTATAGATCAGCTAGGCCTTGGCAGTGATAGAGAAAGGGCTAGAGTAGAGGCATCTGTATACGAGAATCGTTTCTGTTTAAAAGCCACATCAATTTGAATCTTAACAAATCTAAATAGGGCTGCATTAGGCCAATAATTTCATTTCCTTTATGATGCAGTGCAAATTAAAGCGGGCGCATCTGAACAGCCTTGGAAACAACCTGGGGTTTTACACGTTTTGTGTTCCCTACTCTGAAGCTACAGGGTAGGTGTTGGTTTAGCAGTCACTGTGCATTGGGAGGTGATGTTGATCCTCTGTCCCTGTTTCTAAGGAATTCGTTAAGCCATCAAGAGGCACTTGTGCAGTTTTTCTTTGCCCGTTGGACTTATTTTTCTTATTTTCTTGGCTCCCTTTTCAATCAACCTATTTATTTCTTTCAGCACTGCTTTGTGGAGTGCCCACCCCCTGCTAGGGAATAGGTGCATTTTATTCATTCCGCTGAGACTTCATTTTCTCTATTAAATGGAGATACATGAGGACAAATTTACAAAGTGCCTCAGCATACAGCAATGTCCTGCCTCAGATTCCTGTAACTAAATGCCATAAACCAGGTGGCTTATCAGCAACTGAAATTTATTTCTCACAGTTCTAGTAGAAGCAAGTTTGGAGATGAGGGTGCCAGCATGGTTAGTTTATGGTGAGAGCCCTTTTCCAGGTTTGTAGACTAATGATTTCTCTCACTGTATGCTCATGTGATATAAGGGGCAAGCTCTCTGGCCTCTTCTTATAAGGAAACTAACCCCATTTATGAGGACTCCACTTTCATGAACTAGTTACTTCCCAAGGGGTCCACCTCCAAACACCGTCACATTGGCAATTAGGTGTTAACATATGAATTTGGGGAGACATAGCATTCAGTCCTTAACGTGGACATATGAAGACACCTCTCTCTTCTTTGAGCCTTGGTCTTCATCATAGTAAAACTTGCCTTAGGGGTTCCTGTTTAATGAAGGTAACACAACTGAAAAGCACGTTAGAAGCTGCAAAATGTTCATTATTCATAGCAGTTCATTATAATGGATAGGTAGTAATTCCTTTATATTACATAAACAAAGTGGTATTTATAAATAAGTATAAATATTATTTATTTTAGAATACTTCTATGTTTTTCCATAAACTGCACAGTTTATGTGTTGAGCTATTTGGAGGACTTCACCCATTTGTTCCCCATAATAACCCTGATCACTGGTACAGTAAGGTCTCTTAACCTCATCGGATAGATTTGTCTTTCTGACATCTAATTAACTTTGAAACAGTGTTTGGGGATTACGGTAGGTTTAGAATGCATTGGAGGATATGAAGCTAAACAACAAGTTCCTTAAAAAACTTGATATACAGCACAATTCAGATTAGCACATTTGCCTACACTTCAAAACAAAGTGTCCTTCATAACACACATGACGTACAAACAGCATCTTTCAGGACAGGGAGATTCTGCAGGCACTAGGAAGTCCTTGTAGAAGGAAGGGTGGTTTCTGTCTTTTACTCCGTGTTCTCTTCATTGCTTCCAGATGAGGGGCGGGTATGGAAAGATTCACAGAGGAGAGGACCCGTGGACAGGTGAATAAATGAGTAGGTGCTAAATTCCAACCAAGGAGCACTGTTTGCAGCATGGCAAGTGACTGACACAAGATTATATAGCTTGTGCAGGATTAAATAAGACTCTTCTGTGATACTAGCCCAACTCAATGAGCAGAGATATTTATGTGCTGGAGTCTCATTTATCTGTGATTTTAAGCCTTGGAAATTGGAAGGCAGTTTGGGGCCATTACTTTTGCTGAGCAGGACAGACGCCTGATAGGGCTGTAGTTACAGGACAGAGTTGGACTTCACGGGCTCCTACTGATTCTTGTTTTGCAGAGAGCAGCAGCCTGCGTTCAGCCTGCGTCCACGACAGCACCTTGCATAGCCGAGTCTTTCAGATCTTGTATCGGAATGAAGAGGTGCCCATAAACGATGCTGTGATCTTCCAAGCTCATTTACTCTTGGATGGTGAAAGGGTAAGTCATGACTCTGCTGCCAGCCACACATGGCTGCTCCCTATCATTGCTAGGTAAATGGTAAATGAAGGAGAAGCTAGATTTACTCAGAAATCTGAGAGAGAGGAATTTGTGATTGTAGAGTGCTCATGTACTTATTTACATATCCATTTTTTTACTCATTCTTTCATTCACATACTTGCTCATTCCATGTAGTCTCAAGTGCAGGCAGCCTCCATTGACTAACTTGTGGTCTCTCGTATTCACTCCACACTTGCTTATGTGTGCATCTATTCAGGTACTCTGTCAACAGCCACTCACTAGATGTTTATTGAGTATCCACTTTTTGTAGGGCTCTGTGTCTGGCCCTTGGATCAGGGACAGACTGATGAAGACAGTAGTAGGTCCTCTGCATCAAAGGGGTTGATGGTTCAGCGGGAAAACAGATGTATATAAACAAGTACCCTGGTGGATGTGCACTCTACTGGTTGCTTGTAGAAATTAAATAAAGGGACACCAAGGATGGAGAAATGAGCTCCTTGGGGATGATGGCAGTGGTGTCTCTCATTGGTTTCTCAGACGAGTTGGCTTTCAGATGCACGTGCTGAGTCCATCTAAAAGAGGAAGAGGAAGAACATCTTATGAAGAGGAACTGTGTTTGTACAAGCCCAGAGGCCTTGGGGGCTTCATTCTACTTACTGAAAACTTGATTGAAAATTACCTTTTCATCAGATTAACACGTTTCAAAGGAATATCTGAAGCCCAAACCATTGTTCTCCCTCCCCCATGCTCATCTTGAACCTCTGCTGCCACATTCTGCTGATTATTTCCTTCTAGAATACCTTTAAGTGGCGTGGAAGAGTGTTCCTATTGTAGGAGAATCTGTTTGGAGCCTCCTACTCACATTTTCCATGGGAGTGCACAACGACTCTTACTGGGCATCTAATATCTTTCTCCTCTCATACCTTGTGTCTTTTTGTTCACATATTTTATGATCTAGGTAGTGACCAAATTCACTTGCATGGCTAAAACTGGAAAGTTCATTCTTTACATAGTAATCCACCCATCCATCAAAGTTTTACTGAGCAGTCACTAAGTACCTACTATGGTGTTTGGGGGCTTATATCAAACAAACCAGTCATGTCTGTTCTATCAGTACACCATGCCCAGCTCAAGAGTCTGTGAGATACACTTGTGAGGGAAAGAATAGATACATATGCACCCCCCTGGAGGTTTTGTGAAGCTACAGTTGTTCCCAAGTGGGAGAGACTGCATGACAGTTCTGCTGAGCAAGACTGGCCATTGCCTCATGACAGATACTCAGATGATGAGATTGTCAAGGGCTCAGCACAGTCTTCAATGCAAACTTCACAGCTGTTAGACTTAGTTTAGGGAAAGATTCCCTGGACTGTTAAGAAACTCCCAGGCAGGCTACACTCAGGGTCAGCTTCCCCAAATAAGAGAACAACACTCTGTTTCTCATGGGCCATTATCATTTGACCCGTTGATCTCAAAAAGCTACCTTGGCAGAGTGACTGTGACAAAAAAATGATGGAGGCTGGGTTTGGGCATTATTCAGGTATGCTGGCCATCATTCCATATTAATTCCATCAGTATCTTGCTCCTGTCCCTACGAGTATAAAGCCTTCTATGTTTGACCTTTCCCAACACTCAACTTTAGCTCAGGTGAGGTTGCAACCAGCCTTAGTTCTGAGGTTCAGTAGGGAGTGTGTTTCACAGTACATGTTGTTTTCTTCTGCATATCAAATTTATTTTCTCTATAAGCTCATAATTTATTACTGTGTTTGGGTAATCCATATGGCAGCAAATAGTATAACAGCTAATCATTGTTTCCAAATCAGTGACAATTGCAGTTAATTGGATATGTCTGTAAGGACTGTATATTTGGAATGAATTAGCTCTTTTCCAGTTAATATCTATCTGCTTGTGACAACCAAAACATTTCTTATGGCCAGGTGGCCAGAAAATATGTTCATGAATGTACATAGACATCATTGTGAGCAGCAGAGATTTATAAAATGCATGTCCATAAAGCTCTGTTCTACATGCTACAGGGAATTGAGGCATGAAGGAGATTCAGTCCATGAAGTGAGGTCCCAGATAAGTGCAAGAGGTGACCACAGACAGAGCTAATCACAGGTTAAGGTATACTGTGTGATGTTTTCATAACAGTTACAAAGAGTAAGTATGAGGATAATGTGGATGTGTACTCTGTGTAACCTCACAAAAGATTTAAGACAGTGTAAAAATTTATAGAACAGTAAAAAGGAAAAAAAAAAAATATTTTTACAGGCAGAGATATATGGATGGAAAAAAACACAGAAAAGAAAATAAAGCCCAGGTTAAGGGTAGCAGACCAAAATGCACAAGCATCCTCTGGGCATTTGTTAGAAATTAATGGCCCACACGGTTAGTGCTGAGCTCCTAGTAGCCAAGACAAAGAGGGAGATCCAGTTATTAACAAGATGCTTAACATTCTGAGGAAGAAGAGGAACATATTATATTAATATATTAAAAAAAAAAACCAAACCTTTGTTAACAAGATTGCATTTGCATAGGCTTAAAAACGAAAAGCATTTCCTAAGGTGCTACTTCTTGGTGCATCACAGTCCCCTGGCAGTGCTTGTAGAAAATACAGATTCATGAGACCATCACTGAACTAGTGATTTAGACAGTGGGTATTTGTTTGGAGGTGGCAGGGATTGATTCAGAGCTTTGATAAGTAGGGCAAGACAAGATTTCCATGGGAAACATTTACGAGCTCCTGAGACAAAGGACAGCAAGGACAGTGAAAAGCAAAAAAGTAGAGAGTGGGTTTGAGGGAGAGGCACAGACACAAAGCTGGTAAGGAAGGTGGAGGACATGGCATGGAGCCCCACAGAGACCCTTTCAAAGGCCATATGTTTACCCTGCTCTGAAGGTGGGAGGCTCCTTTGGGATTCCAAAGGAGAATAGCTGGGATTTAGAAAGGTCAGTCTGCCAAAATATGGAAAATGGTGCCCAATAGACCAAGGATATAGATGCAGTTGCTGCTGTGGTCCCTGAGGGTGCTGGTTAGCCCCATGGTAGAGAGAGTAGCTGTGTGGATGGGGCCAGTGTGGATTGAGAAGGGTGAGCTGCCTGGCAGCCAGTGCAGCTCACAGAACTGGGTCGAGGTTCAACATGGGGGGTGAAGGACATTGTGTGGAGAAGAAAGTGAAATGGAAGTTGAATCTAAGATTTGGGCATGGAATGGGCTTGGAGTCACCCTTGACAGTCCAAGGTAGTTGGGAGAGGGAGAGTTTCCATTGGGGAATGATGAGAATTCAGGTTGAATTATAATAACAATCACGATGAGCTTAACACAAATAGCATCTTATACTTATTAGGTATGTGCTGTGTGGCAGGCATCGTGCTGAGTTGTCTGGAATATCTCACTGAATCACTGCAACAGCAGTATGAGGTGTTTCATTATTCCTATTTTGCAGATGGGGATACAGAAATTTAGAAAAATAATTTTCCAAAATCACACCACCAGGAATTAGCAGGGCTGGGATTCAGACCTAGGCAGTCCAATCTCAAAGTCCATGTTTGTGGCCAGCATGCAGGACCACTGTGTGGATTTGGTGGAAGAATGGGTTCTTTATGTGAAAAGGGCCAGTAATAAATTGGAAATAATGGCAATAATAATAACTAAAATTTATTGAGATTTGTGTGAACAAAACCCTTTGTGCGCATTTTCTTATTTAGTTCAGATGACAGCAATATTATGGAGTAAGTGTAATTATTTTACTCCTGCTTTATAGATGAGAAAACAGCAGAGTTTAACTGTCCCAAGGTCACACAGATACTAAGTGGTAGAACTAGGACTTGTGCCAAAGTAGGTTGACTTCAAAAGCTGCATTCTTAGCCTCCAGGCTGTGACAAAGCTCATGAGAGAAGTTAAGAATGGAGGGGAAAACAAGAGTCCCTTTTGTGAGCAGAGTTAAAACTAACCAGTGAGAAAATGTCCAACCTAGAACACAGAGTTGACCATGGGAAAAGGCCAGTGAAGTGGAGCACATGATAGGATCTAGGATATGGGGCTCACTAACTAGTTGAGTTTGGGAAAGTGATTTCATCACACTGAGCCTCAGTTTCCCCACTTGTAAAATAACTTTGTGATTCATAGTTTTACGCACATTTAATAAGATAGTGTATGTATAATGATAGTTGATTGCCTGCCACATAGTAACTCTTCTGTAAATATGAGCTTCTTTTGTTACTTTCACTATTATACAGAACTGCTTCCTGGTGGTGAGAAAATGACCCATGAAGGGAGGTAATATCTTCAATGCAGAAGAGGGAAGCAGAGTAAAGGAAAAGCATGTGTGTACATGTGCACCCTGTGTGTGTGTGTTTGTGGGCAGGACAGGTAGTCAACAGCCGATCATAAAATACATGGTGGGAAAAGGGGGTGACTTCATTCTGAAGTATCTTGCAAATAAGATTCATTGAGGTATCACGAAGTCATAGCCAGGCTCAATTTAGCCACAGCTTGTCCAAGCCATTGATTTCTCTCCAGTTCCTAAGGAATCGCAGCAAGTTTAAAACTGGAGCTGACAGTGAATTTTCATTACCAAGGCAAATGCGTGCTCAGAAGGTGGTGGGGAGTACTTGCTTTGTCGGTCTCACTTCCAAGGAACGAGTGGCAGGAGACTGTGTTGCTTTCCTTGTGTTCATGATTATGCAAAACAAAGCTAGGAGAGGAAGTTATTTATAACACTTGGATTCAGCAAAATGTTAACTTTTAAGTGGCTTTTTTTTTTTTTACAACAAATTTTAAACCCTGGAGACCTAAAGATAAATTCCATCCATATGTCCTCTGCCTGAATTATGCTTAACCAGGGAGACATTTCCAAAGAGGCCTTTGGATAAAATATTTCTGTCCCTGCAGGGTGAGGATATTCTTGCAAAGAAACAAAAACAAAGAAAAAGGTTGGGGACAGGGAAGATGCATTGATACTTTCTATGTTGCAGGCACTATTCCTGGAGCAGGGGATCCAGAAGGAATTAAGACTAGTCTCCCCCTTAATGATACACAGATTACTGGGGCCACCAGGCAGGAAAATAGCTGGGAAGTTTTAGCGCAGGCCAGATGGGCATTGTCAGCGACTGCAGTGAACCAGCAGTGGCTGCAAGAGCAATTACTGATCCAAACAGCTTTCAAATACCAGCCCCGCATTGCCACATCAAGGATGTTTCCCCAGAAGCTGAAAACGTATAATAAAAATCTGAAATTGCCTGAATTGTAAATGGTTGCTACTAAATGTTCAAAACATTTTAAAAAATACCATGGGGACTAAATAAAACATGTCTGCAGATAATACTTGGCTCATAGGCTTCCAGCTTATAATGCTAAAAAAAAAAAAAAAATACAATCGCAATAGGAAGCGTCAAATGCTAAGAAGAAGGCTTTCATGATTAGAGGAGAAGGGCTACATCCAGCCTGCAGTGGGAAGGGGACAAAGTCCTGTCACAGGTATGCAGCACTGATGCTGGGTGGCCCCGCTGAGGGCAGGTGGTGGTAAGATCTGATATTTAGCAAGCAAGTCCCCCTTGAGGTGGAGATGATGTTGTTTAGCATGGGAAAAAAAGAAGGAGTATCATCTTTTAGGTATATATGAGAAGCTGGCAGGAAGAACAAAGATTCCTATGGTAAAAAGTACTTTTTTTAAAACTAAGAATGCAAGCAGCCATGGACAGCATGTGGAATGCCAAAGTGTCTTCAAGTGTAAATGGTTAAATGCAATGGATCTGAAGATAAAATTGAAGAAGCTGTTTTCTCATGAAGTTGAGGCATCTTGAACAGGAACAGCTTTCCTGAGTACCAGCTTCCTTCTCTGCACAGAGGGACAGTGGTGCCAGCACTCAGAGGGGGCCTAAAGGTTGGAGATAACATCCTCTCTGATTTTATTTTATCACTAGCCAAGTGAGGTGTCACTGTGAATCATTACTCCATCCTTCTCCCAAAGCAGGTGCTATGGGACACTTTGGGACTCTCTACTCCTGCCCAAATTCAGATTCTAGATCAAATCCATGTAGGAAATGAGACTCTCAAAAGTCCTACAATGAGTAAACTTGCTTATTAGCCTTTTTATTTTGCAAATTGGCTTTTTCCCTGAGCTGGCTATGTAAATCTATTCCTTGTGTTTTCTTTGTAATATTCCCAGATTTCCTGTTTATCCAGAAATTTATGGAATATTAAAGGAAATGCTGCCTTAAGTATAAGTGACATTCATTTTGTAATGAGATACTGTTTTTCTACTTTGGGAAATAGACCAGCTAAATATTTCATTTGGACAAGATTTGACTCCTGAAACCCCTTGGATTTTGTTTATCCTACAGGTGGAAGATGCACTGAGTGAAGTCGATTTTCAACTCAAGGTGGACCTGCACTTTACAGAGAGTGAACAGCAGTGAGTGTCCTGGAAATCTTTGAGTTGCCACAGTACAATTCTTCCCTCCACCTGCCCCTGCTCCTGGGGCATCCTTAGGACTCCAGAATGCCCCCAACATGTTGGGGTCCTGATGAACTGTGAGATCCCTTACCCAGGAGTGTGTGCTGAGAATGACTGCTTGGTTATTTCAAACTGCATGCATTTTAGGCAGGTAGCTCAAATGTTGCATACACAGAAAATGCCTGACTTCCTGGGTTTATTAACTGGCACCTTCTCATGTCTGACACCTTTGTATGCTTTCAATGTAGTATTAATTGGTGGTTTTAGATTAATGGCCCTATGGGGCTACAAACCTCAAAGCCCCTTCTGAATCAAAGGAGATTCTGCCAGGATTCTGCATCTTCATGCTAGATACCTGCTATTGTGTTTCAACTCTCTGAAAATTGAAAATCCATTTATGTGTAACCTGCTGATTAAATAAGCAGGAGGCAACTCTCTTCTTTCTCATAACTGCTTCCTTTCAGCCTGTTGGCTGGCCTCTTCCTCCTACCCTGGGGTGAACTATCATGCCACTAAGCCTCTCTGGGTTTTCTCAGTTAATAAATAAATCATCGTTTCCTTAAGTATTAAGAAGCCCAGTCAAGTGTAATGTCAAAACTCTAAACTCTCATCCAGTTTATAGCTTCTTTCTGTTTGTCCACCCACTTCCTGGTCCAGGCTGTCTCAGGGTAGGAAAGTCCAAGTGCAGAAACAGGGCATTGTGGGGCCTTCACTTCCTGCTCCTGCCTTCCCTCCACTGCAGTTTGTGGACCTTCTAGGGTCAGGCACAGTGAGGAAGGGGAGATGGAGGAAGGGTCAGGGGTTCATATGTGAGTAGAGTCCTTTGTGTGACAGATACCAAATCGTCCTTGAACTATTCTTGTGAATTCCTTGGAGATACACCTGTTAGGCAGCCCCTCCGACCCTCACTGCACTCCATCCCTGCAGTTCTCTGATACAGTGATGCCTTGTGCGGCTGTGTGACTCATTCCTTGCAAGAAACTACTTGGGACATATACTTCTCCAAATAACCCACATCTGGCCTGTGGGAAATAGACACAGGCACTTTAACTGCCATCCCACATTTGTGGGAAAAACCCTCTGGCATGGCTCCTTGCTCTTTCTTAGACTGATACAACCACCCTCAGCTTCTCTCCTGATAGCCTCTGCAGGATGAGTTGGACACCAGGACCTATGTTCCCTCAGTCTTAGGGGACACAGGGCAAGTTCACTCATAGACCCTCTTCCTTTGGCTTAAGGTGCAGGGAAGAAAAACTTTTTCTTCCTCTATTAGAAGAATCTCTGCACACATGGCCACTCTCTGCAAACTAAAATCAGTCCTCACTTCTGGTCTCTATAACCTCTTCAGCAAATACCTCTCCTTTTCCTCTGCAGGTGGGGAATCAGGAGGCTGATGCACCAGCACTGGTAGAATGGACCAGCACTAAATCCCTTTAAAGTTCAGACTTTCTCTCAGGACTTTCTTCCTTTTCTCAATGACTGCTCCACCCCTGAAATCTGGCTAATTGTTAGGGGATGGGGTCATAAAATAATGAGGAGTTGAGTCAGAGGGGATATGAACCAAAGATGAATATCTACTGAGGTGTCAGAGATCCGACTGTGTCTGGGAGTTGAGAATGGACACCTACTGATATATATATAGCTGGGCTCCTCTAGCCTCTGGGCTGGCAGGGGTATCTGTCCCTGGTCCTGAAAAAATGGCTGGGCTCAAGATCACACATTTTTCACTTTTTTATCTGGACACAAGCCCCTCTGGCCATCTGCCTCTCTCATCACATCTGCTGCTTCCCTGGTGGGACAGTGAATACCGTTGGTTCCAAACTCAGCCTAGAAATAATTCTGCAACCGGCCTTCCAACTAGCCTAATAATAAGCCACCATGGACAGAGCAAATGAGACCTTCTTGCAGATAAGACAGCAGTTAAAGGAGAGCCTGTGTACAGGACGTTGCTCCAAAGTATATAAAATTCAACCATCTAGGGTCTGTACTCATAAACTGTAAAATATTTGGGAAGTTCTTACACTTTTATAAATCTCAGTAGCCTTATTTATAAAGTAAGTATCATCATAGAATACAGATCCTATCAGTTTTTTACAAAGATTAAGAGAGAGAATATATACAACAAGCCAAGTGCATGGCCTGCTGAATGAATGTCTTCTTCCACTTTATGGCTTCCTGGATGCAAGTGAGGCCAGTCTTTGATGTGTCATTTCCTTTCCATAATAACAAAGCACTTAATAACAATCAAAGCAGGAAGTTTTCATGAAGTACAAGATTAGCTAAGAGGAACAGGAAATGAGAGCCCAGAAAGATTGAAAATGCCATATTTTTTCATTTTTATAAATTGAGTTCAAGGATGATACGGTGTCTGTAGCACATCCTGGGAGTAGACATTCAGTTTTGAAACATGACTACATTAGCTGGCTTCTTTTGGAGAAGCATAGCATCTCATTTCAGGGATGCTGGGTTCTCCAAGTCCATCTTGTCTGTGCTTTCAATGCAGGTGGGAGCATTCTGCTTCTTGGAGCATTTGACCATGTCCAGAGATGCTTTTTGGTTGTTGCAATTGGATGGGGGTGGTTGAGGGAAAATAGCAGAATGGAGGCAAGGGCTTCACTTCTGAGTTCAGGTTGGGAAGAAGGTCACCCTCTTTTAGAGATGGTGTGAATCAGGTTGGATAGTCACAATTATTTACCGGTATCTAGTGAGAAAAGGCCGGAGATGCTGCTGAATGCCTTACAACACACCAGCCAGAAGCCTCTACAACAAGCCATCATCAGTCTCCTAAGTCAGTTTCACTGAGGTTGAGAAGCCCTGTTGTAGCCAGACCTTGCCTTTGTACTTGTTACTGTGCAAAGACCCATCAGCACCTGTTTGCCCAGGGATGGAGCTCATTCCTTCTCATCATAGTCCATCCTGCCTCCAGCAGTCCTGCTGATCAGGGAATTCTTTACTTCAAGGAGCACTTCATTTTTGTGAGTCTTCCCTCAGTTTACCTCTTATTCCTTATAACCACCCAGAAAAATCTGAGTCTGGATGGCAGTTCAGATAAAGAATGTTCTTTATCTCTTTCATCTCCAGGCTGAATACTGGGGCTCTTTCTCTGTTTGTTTTTGTTTGTTTTATTTTGTGTTTGTTTTAGTTTCTTTATAAGAACTTAGGCTTTCTCCTCTCAATGGTACAAAGTTTCTCCTCCTTTTCTAAATTGAGATCCCGCCTCCCTGCAGGAACTAAGTTTTATCTCCATTTCAGATAATATTCATTTCAGAGCACAGAAGAGTTATCACCTCCGTAATTCTTAGTTCTTTATTCCTACTGATATGGCTTAAATTTCTATTAACAAGTTTTTGCCATCTTTGCTACCCTGACATGTATTTAACCTCCTGTTATTCAAGCCCTGGTGATATTTCCACGAGTTGTAGGAGCCTGTGTCTGAATAGATTCAAAGCAGCATTGAGCAGTAACTCAGAACTAACTGTGGATTCAGAACTGCTCTGGCACTTTAGCTTTGCCTTATGACTTTGAACAAGTTAATTAACTCATGTTGATTTTACTTTCTCTCTATAAATTGAACAATACTAGTAAATACCTCATAGGATTGTCATACAGATTAGGAGGAAAAAATACCTTGCTCAGTTCATAGCAAGTCCTTGATAAATTATTGCCAGAATTAAAATGCATATCAATATTAATGACTTTCTATGATTCTCCACCCCCTCCCCATCAGGTTTCTTCAAGGTACAAGAGGAGACCATTATTCTATTTTATTTATAGAATCACACTGGGCTGCAATGATTTAGTTGGCTCTTTTATTTGGCATTCATTTGCATGTAAGCAACAAGGATTTCAAGGAAGCCACGTCCCTTGGGTTCGGTCTTGGGTGGCTGCACCCTTCACATTGCCTTTCTGTGCTCCAAGTATTTATCCATGGAGGAGGAGGAGCATTGGTTCCCTGCTCTACTAATGGAAGCTGCTCCTTCTAGGTTTCCTGTGTCCTGTGGTTCAGAGAAACTTATGGAGCCTGAAACACTGTTTTTCAGAGATTACTGCTGGATCCTTCTGAGGGCTACCATGGCTGGCTTTTATTTAGACAAGAACCAGTCCCTTTTTTTTATAACAGAAGACATTGTTGGGTCTTGCCTACAAGTTGGTTTGTCTCTTAGGAGTAAGACACCTACCACCTACAAAACGCTGCAACAGAGGTGGGCAAATCCTTGATGAAATGGGTCAGACTATGTAACTACTGGGCTCCTGGAGCATTCATTCAGCCAGTCCTTTGTTCATTTTGATAAGCACACATTTGACCAATTTCTTCAGCATGTCAGGTATGAGGCTAGGTGTTGAGGATATAAAGATGAATTAGGTACAGTCCCTGTCATGAAGAGGTAGGAATCTAATAGAAATCACAGGCTCACACAGTCAGTGTGGCATCATAAGTGCAGTGCTGGACATCTGGATATCTGAGGGGACTAGGAGAGAAGTGTGGGCAAGGAGAGCCAAAAGGATTCAGTGTGGGCATGAGCTTTGGAAAGCAAGTTCAAGTCTCTTATTCGTCACTGACACATGAGCTTGTTTTCTCAGATATGCCTTGTAGAGCTGTGTGATATACAATGAGTTATTTCCCTCTCTGAGCATTGATTTCTTATCTGTCAATCATGGGAAAAGTGATTTCTACCAGGCATGGTGTTTGCAGGATTGAATAAGTTGATGTATGTGCAGTGCTTGGCCCACAGAGATACTGTCAGATAGACCTGCTTGGTGGACAGAAGGGTCAACCCTCTGTCGCTCATGTGAGCTCACTTGCTTGCCTTCCAGGTTGAGGGACGTGGCCGGGGCACCCGTGATCAGCAGCCGCACGCTTGGCCTACACTTCCACCCACGGAAGGGTCTGCACCACCAAGTGCCAGTCATGTTCGACTATTTCCACCTGTCTGTGATCTCCGTGACCATCCATGCTGCACTGGTGGCACTGCGGCAGCCCCTGATCAGGTATGGAGTTCGGAGGCAGCCCTGGGGCGTGGGGAGCTACCGTCGATCACAGGCGTGGCAGAGAGGCTCAGGTTTGCCAGGGGAGATCAGCACAGACGGGAGCTTCTCCCAGGCTATAGGTTCAGGCTCTGGGTCTAAATTCTGGGGGGACTGGGCATTGTGAGGGGAGACTGTCTCAGAGCCAGGGGCTGAACATCTGCAAACTGCAGCTGACACATGGATTCTGTACCCAGCTTCACTTTAGTCTCACTGTGCCTTATTTGAAAAGTCCTCTAATGTCCTGGAGCCACATCTTTTCATCTCTCGAATAGTAGCACTAACGTGTCCCATCTACATAAGGTCTTAGTGAATCCCAAATGAGGACAGTGTCAAGCACGTGATAGGGACTCAGTTTTCTTTCTCTCCCTCAAGTTACTTGTTAAGATAAGGAAGATCTACCTACGTGGTTTGCCTCCCCTCTTCAGTGAACTTCCCAGAACAACTCCAAGGGCCCATGAAGCACCGAGGTTTTATGAATTCCTTGAGTGGAAGGGCAGAGCTGACAACAGCCAGTGCACTGTACTGTGCTCAGCTGTCTTTGTATTAATACATACTCCCAGCATGGCCTGATACGTGCAGCACATCATTTCAAACATCATACATGCACATGGGCAAAAGTTGCATGTGTGCAATGGGATGTTTAGGGATAGAATATTGCAACATGGAGTTTCAGAAAGGGAACTTCCCCAGTTTCCCTTTTCTGAATGGCTCCTCAAGTGCTGAGCGTTTAAATGTATGTGGGGGAGACTTGAGTTCTCACTGAGTTTGCTGTCCCTGGCCTGATGTCTCTGTTTTCTGCTGGTCTCAGAGAGCAGGAATTGGGTTACCTGACCTGGACAGTGCCATGTGGCCAGGAGCTGGTCCCTGGAGGTCTTGACCTAGTGACCATGCCCATCTGCTGATTCCACTCTGGGCTTTACAGAGGGAAGTTCCACAGGGGGTTAAAGTCAGAGCTCATGGCAGGAGCAAAGGACACTGGGAATTTAGAGGTGGAGAGAGCTGGTGAGGGCGGCACCTCAGCCTGGAGTCATGAACTGAGATAAAAGAAGTCTGGGCATATTCTAGTCCAAACCTTGATTGAACTCCTGGAAAGAAACTGGGTCCTCAAGATGAAGGAGACACATGTACCAGGGAGACCTGGGGACATTGTCTTATGTTTCAAGCAATAAATGTTGATAGTGGGCCTATTGTGCTCTAGCAAAGGTGTTAGGAAGTACACAGCACATCCTGCTTTGGGATCTAAAGATATCTTGGAATAGATCTTTCTCTCAAAGACTTCACAGTACAGTAGAGTGGACCAATTTACATACATGATATTATTATATGGTAAATGCTATTCCATTAGAATTTGGTAGAAAATATTATAAGATTCATAGTTATAAGAACAAAAGAAAGCAGCCCTGACCTTGAGAAGTGACAGAAGAAATAGGATGCAGAAAGCAGCAGAGAGTAGTCGTATCCTGCCAAGGTTGTTCTCTAGCTGGTGGCTCACTCTGAGGCTTAGCAAATAAATGCCCTGAAGGCAGGATGAAGGGCATGATCTCTCTGCCCTCTGTGAGGTGAGGCTGGCGAGGCCAGGCTGATGGCCGAGGGTTGGGTCCTGGGATTAGCAGGCTGTCGCTGCTGAAGGTACGGTGATAGCCTGGAGTAGGAAAGGCAGAGCTCCCTGCAGGGTGCCGGGGCCCTGAGAGCAAATTGTCACTAGCTGGAGTTTAGAGCATCTTCTTGTCTAGCCCTATTGTTTATTTTTGGGGGATCCTTAGATAAGTCACCTAACTTTGCTAAGAATCTATTTCAACATATAAATGAATGAATGAATGAATGAATGAATGAATGAATGAATGAGGAGGAATTTTTGAAAACGAGTGTGATCCTAAACCAATGGGGATGATGATGGCTTACAATGAGATGAAGTAAACAGTGTTGCAGTTGATGAAAGTGTGCTTGGTTCGAGGTGGGTGTCACTAAGCATTAGCCACTTCTAGAAAGGCCAAGCCTGGAAGCTCTGATGATGATTAGATCAGCTCCAGGGCCCTTAAAAGCTGGAGTTTGGTGGAAATACACACGGGCTGTGAACTCTAATTCAGAGTGATACCTGTTTTACCGAGGGGTGTGCGAAGCATCGTGGGAGCCCTATGTAAGCCAGAGATAAAGGGATGGTCTTTAGGATCACAGGGACCCAGATTGCAATTCCAAGTTAATCATTAACTCTATTAGATTTAGCATTTGAGCTTCAGTTTCAGTATATACCCAAAGGCTGTTTGAAGGATTAAGTGAAGTAGTGCATGTAAAACCCTTGGCCATTCATGCAATCCATTGATATTTACTTAGTGCCTACCACATCCCAACCTCTGATCTGGGGGCCTCATGCCTAGCACGTAATAAACACCTAATAAGCGGTAGGTAACTGTTAGCATGGGGAAGATGTGCTTCCGTCAAAGGGACATGAGGGAAAGCTTTCTAGAAGAAACAGCCTTTGTGTGCCACCCAGGGGATGAGAGACTATGACAGTGAAAAATGAATTTGGGAGGGTAAATTGGAGTTATATGCTAACAAGGTAACTAATGACACATTAAGGAATTGAGAATCTGTTTATTGTGGAAGAAGAAAGTGCTGCATGTTTTGAGCAGGAGAATAACTTGATGAGCCCTGTGTTTTGTAGAGACCCCAGCCATTGTGAGTAGGCTGCACAGGGAGTTACATCCGAGCAGAGGCAGGAAGATGAGTAAGGAGAGGGGAAGTGTTTACAGCAACTGAAATGGCAGAGAGCAGGCGTCACTTCTTTTGTGCTGGGTGCCCTGATACTATTCTAATGAGAATTTCAGGATCTAGGAATTCTTAGTAAAAAGTTTAACCCTAGACAGAAACAGTCTCTTGCAGATTTGTCTGCAGCAACCCTGCTGGGTAGGAGCACAGATAGGAATTCACAGTAAGAGCTTAGACTTCTCCAGGGATGGGAGTAAAAATAGAACTGTCTTCTGTTCTCTGGATTTTGCTGGAAGAAATTCTCTTGGTTGGCTCACAGTAGCTGGGAACAAAAGGGAACCCTTTAAGGTTGTGGGAAATACCTACCAAATGGGGCAGGCACTAGCTTTTCCAGAAAACCAGCTCTTCGCAGCATCAGTTAAATCCAATCAGTAAGAAGCAGGTGTAAAATTAAGATTTAACCTCAAAAGACCCTTAACCTTCACTGAACCAGACTGAATAAAAGAATATGATTTTTAATTCTCAAATGGATACTGCTGGATTTCCCTTGAGGGATTCAGATCCACCGGAAAAGCTAATTGAAGATACCCTTAAGCAAATAACAAGTTATTTTGGTTATTAATTTGTATTAATTTGTAGTCTGTCCCAGGAATGTGCTGTAAGTACACACACACACACACACACACACACACACACACACACACACACATTCTGCTTTTCTTCTGGAATGTTCCTTAGGTCCATCTTCTAGCTAAATTGTAGAGTTGCTTCAACTTACAATTCAGAAAAAAATCAGAATAATTATATTTTATTATATTTGTATTATTATCAACAATAGCTAGTAGCATTTATTGAATCATTACTATTTGCCAGACACTGAAGTGTCCCTGGCTTATCCTGTGGAATCCTCAGAAGGACGCTATGGTTAAACTGCTCTTCTTAACCCTTCTGACATTAGGAAACAAGGTAGCAGAGGTCAAAAAGCTTGCCCCATGTCACACAGCCTAGGGGGCCTCTGCTGGGGTTCAAACCCTGGCCCAGGGACCTCTTGGCTGCCTCTCCAGCACTTGGCTATACTCCACTTGTGTATCATCTCTGACTATTCATCCTGTTTCCTAGTTTGTTTTATAAACTGCTCTTCTGTGCCCACTGCTCTGAGTTTACCTCCCTTGTATTATATCAATTGGTTTGTGTGTCTGCCTGCCTCTCTGGAATAAAACGTCTCTAAGGGGAGGGCCATGCTTTAATCAGGTTGCCACGCTAGCACCTAACACACTGTCAGGCATATAGTATGATGGGCCTCATAAATGCTTAAATAAATGAATCAAATAGAAATAGAACATAATTTTCCCGTCAATATTTTAAGGAGGAACATGGGTCTCTTGGGTTATCTCTCTACAACTTTTTCTTAAACACTAATGAAAAAAAATGATGCCACCTGGGGTGGTTTATTATCAAGACCTTTGCCGTCAGAGACTTTAAATCTCGCCAGGGAATTAAAACATACCTATCAAATAGTATTTACATTGTGACACAACAATTAACCTTAGGATATTGAATAAAAGAGCTCTGATAAAAAGGGGAAAAAATGAGTATAAATAGACTTTACTGGTGTATCCATTGACACAAATCATACAGGTAAAGGGAAGGAGAGGTGATCATAAACCTAAATAGATTAAATCTTCATAACCCCACAGCCTTTCCTAATTTCCTTCCATCCTCAAATTGATAGTTGCTGTCACAGCGTGGCAGCCGATATTCCCTCTGCCTCACAGAGCTCGGTAGCACCTGTGTATTTGTCTGTTGAACAGATTACAATATTCCCAACTAGCACTGACAGAGAGAGTGCTTCATCAATCAGGATGGCCTTCGACATTGGCTAGACTCTCATGTGGATGCTGGAGGTGGATGTTGTTTTATGCTTTTCCACAGAAGAACAAACAGGTTCCAGAGCAGAGATGTGACCAGCTGGGGCTGTCCCCAGTCCTTCTGTGGCCCGTTCCACCTGCCCCCTCGGTTCACATGCCCTGGAGCTCTGCTCAGTCTCCCTCACGGGTGTGTGGTTGGCATGTAGGGCAGGCATTTCTCCGTACACATTGTAGGGACATGGAGCATGCTCGGCTCCCAAGTTTACATGCCGGTTGCTACCTTATCATCAAGACATCCAAAAATGCTACATGCATACACTCCAGGGGGTGAGCTACTCTGTGTAAATGACTTACCCCAAAGGCTCCACAGTAATACCCTTCGAGGGAGCTGAGTTAACGGCAACATCACTTTCTTCATATTCTTTTTCTCCCTCTTCAATTTTCTTCTTTAGTTTTACTCGTCCGGGAAGAGGCTCCTGGCTTAGTAGAGGTGGCCCAGACATGGGGCAAGAACAGTCCATCATTTCTCTGGAAAACCTGGTCTTTGGAGCTGGATACTGCAAACCGACTTCCTCAGAGGTAACGTCTGCACAGGGCGGTGACCCCACGACTTGCAAACTTCACATTGCAGGGTGTGTGCTCTGATATTCTTGCTTCTGTCAAATGCCATCTCTAGAGATCCTTTGCTTATTCGTGTCTTCCTCTCACTGTCCGTCATCCTCCCTGTATCACTACAACATTTATCTAAGACATCCCTAATGCCAAGCCCTGGGGTCAACACAGGAAATATGTCCTTCATATGCTTCCTTTTATATGTGGTCCCCTGGAAGAGTAAAGTTCCCTGGAGGTGAACAGGCTGTGTTATGTGGGGCTTCCTCCAGAACTGGGGTAGCATCTGAGGTCTGCTGGCGTTGAGCCATGCCTGGTTTCAAAACCTGGCTCCACCTCTCCTTTGTTCACTCTCTGAGCATCAGCATTGCCTCCTGTAGAGTGGGGTTACTGATGGTCAATAATCACATGGAGTGTTATGTGCATTCACTGGTGTAATATGTGTAAAGTTCCCAGCCTGTACCTGGTGCTCCTAGCTACTCAGTGAATATGCACATCCGTCCTTCCCTCTGTTCCTTTGTCCCTAGAAACATATGTTACTCTTTGAGGATGTGCAGGGCTTTGGCCACACACAGTATTACTTTGTCCTTATTTCTCCTTATTAAATATGTTATCAACCTAAAATAAACAACAAGGTCAGAATGTAGTTTAAAAGGAGTTTATTCAGGTGCAGAGGTTGAGGACTACAGCCCAGGCCACACTTCCAAGTTGCCGGATGGCATTTTATGGCTATTTGGCATCAGTTAGTCTAGAGCCTGAATAGCAAGTGGGTTTAAGAGGATGTGAGCTCAAGAGTATGTGAGATGTGACTGGTGCTACATTTTAAATGTGTTTCTGGGCCTGATAATTTAAGGGGACTCCCATTCCTCAGATCATTTTTTTTTTTTTTGTCTTTCTCAGCATGGTGTATTTTTATTAGTGGTCTGCTCAGAAATAGCTAGCCTGCATTATTCAGGGTTCTCCAGAGAAATAGACCAATAAGAGAGAGATATGTAGATACACACACACAGGCACACACTCACACACATACACACACACAAAGAGATTTATCATAAGGAATCAGCTCACATGATTATAGAGGCCGAAAAGTCCCCAAATCTGCAGTCAGCAAGTTGGAGACCCAAGAGAGTCATTTATAGTTGCGGTCTAGTCTAAGTTTAAAGGCAGGAGAAAGCTGATGTCCCAGATCAAAGACCATGAATAAGAGATATAAAATTCTCTCCCACTCAGCCTTTTTGCTCCACTCGGGCCCTTAGTGGATTGGTGAGGCCCATTCACATGGGAAAGGGCCGTCTGCTGTACTCAGTCCACCAAACACCCTCACAGACACACCCAGGATAAGGTTTGACCAAACATCTGGGTACCCCATGGTCCAGTCAAGTTGACACATAAAATTAACCATCACAGAGCCCACATTGTAACTGTGAAAGGCTATCCATGCTCACATAGTCCCCCAAAAAGAGGCGCTTCATCTTCCTGGGTAGTCGGGCTCTGTGCTTAGACTATTTAGGATGTCAGGTGATGCGCTTGGCTCACTCTCCTGTAACATCACCTTTTCCATCTCTGAGACACGGCTAGGAGGTCTGGCTGTGAAAGCTGCCCAGGCCATGTCTCCATCTGGCCTAAGCTGCTGTGCCACATGTTCTCATGGCCTTGAAGAACAAAGATAAGTGCTGCCAAGACCCTCCTGAGGAACAGGGGACCTGAAGCCAGACAGGGCTCTGTGACATGGAAGGAGCAGACGTTAGAGCCCAGTAGGGCCAGCTTGGGAGTGGACTTCAGGGACTCAGAGATGCAGGACCTCGGACAAACACCAGGCTTGTCAGAACCCAATGGCCTTAGCATCGACACAGGACCCAGAGCATAGTAACTGAGTGAGGAAGGGAGCAAGTGGAAAGTTGAACCTGCCAGGGTGAGGCGGATGTTAGTGGCAGCAGACTCTGTAGGACTATCTCTACAAAAGGCTCCCCAAGGGATGACTGAAACCTTTGTTGTGACCACATCACAGTGAATTTCTCCTCTGCCCAGTCCTCCTTCTCTCACACCCCACATATGCTGGCCCAGTAGATCTGCTACCTAAAAATCTGCCCGCTCAGACCCTGTTGCCCAGGGAACTTGGCCTGGGACATTAGGAAATTCTAGTGCTCCCAGATTGATTCAAAGCACTTTAGACACTTGTCTCCCAAGCTAAGAGCTGTTGTTGGTCCTAGAGGAGCATATGAGAATGATTATGGTAAGGTGTCTTCTTTGAAGAAATTCTAATGCACAACTTCCTACACATCCTTCCAAGACCTTGTTCAGATGCTATCACTGCTGTGGAAGTACTCTCTGATTTCCTGGAAAGAAATACTTTCTCCCCAATTCTCTCGGCATCTTCACCTCTCCTCCACCAGACTCTGAGTAGCTGGGGGTGGAGACCATCCCATTCAGCTCACAACCGCGGGGCCCAGCAGCATGCCTGGCACACATAGTTAGTGCTCAGAAATCATGTGTGGAATGACTGATTGATACACATGTGTGAATCATGTTCATGTAGATACAGGCGTCCTGAAACTACGGCCTGCGGGCCACATGCGGACAGCCAAGGACATTTATCCCGCCCACCGTGTGTTTTTGCTGCCGCTGCCTGTCCTGCTTAACAGCTGACTGGTCCCGGGCCCACAGTGCGCATGTGTGGAATGTGCGCCGCACTCTCCAACGGTCTGAGGGACAGTAAACTGGCCCCCTGTTTAAAAAGTTTGAGGACCCCTGATGTAGAAAGCTGAGCAGCAAGAGAGTGAAGCCACACAGACCATCATTGCTTTACAAGGCAGCAGCGGGAAACCAGATGGAGGGGGCTGAGGACTGGGGGCACCACCACTGACACGTGAGTGCCCGGCAGGGCTGCCCTGGGAGGCTGTGCAGATCCCTAGGCCTGGTACCGGTGGGGTGGAGTGGGGCACACTGTAGATCATTTCAGCCCACCAGACTCTGCCAGGGAGGACACGTCTGAGCACGGCCCAGACCCACCTCTATCTCTGAGACCTGTTGTAATGCGCTAGACAGAAAAATCCGGTTTCAAATACCTGCTATGGTAAATAAACACTGTGTTACTCAGGGGAACTCATTCATTCTTGTGGAAACTCAATTTTCTCATCTGTGAAATGGGAAAATGTCTATCTTTTAGAGAGGATTTCAGGAGTTAGTGTGTGTAACATTAAAGAAATAGACTTAGCAGGCACATGACTCCGTATAGTTTTTTGTTGTTTTTTTTTTTCTCTTCTTGGGTATTTTTGGGGATGTGTGTCAAAACAGACCTCCCTGTCTTTTACGAGTCAGGTAAAATGGCTTGTTTGTGGGGACTTAGCATTGAACTTGCTCGTGGAACGTAGCTGAATGGGTTATTTTCAGGACTTGATTCTTTTCCTGTGCTTTTTCCATTTGGGTCCCATCCAATTATGTGGATTCGGTGCCATGCGCCCACCTTGTGCCTTCCCACCAGGTAAGTCTGCCAAACAAACAATAAAATCCACTCCCCCCAGCCCCCAGGAGCTGTATATCCGAATCCCTGAGAAGCCCAGTGCATTAGCAAATACTATCGGAATCCTCACAGATTGTAGCATCAGCTGGAAGGATTAGAGAACAGGTGCTTCCTTCAAAATAAGCCTTTCCTTGCAGAGACATTCACAAAACTAGAGTTTCATAGCAAAATGAACTGGTTGGCATGAAAAATCATGGGGAGGTGAGGGCTGACATGACAGGCCATGTCCCTTTCCCTTCCCCCTTGTGGACTCTGTGCTTTCCTGCTGCACCTTTGACATTTAGACCTTGAGATTTAGAGTTGGTGGGGCGAGGGCTTGTGTCCTTCTCCATCCCAAACCAGCAGCTTAGCACTGGTGGGCAGCTGATTTGCCCTCATTGGCTCATGGCTTATCTGTCAATGGGGATGCTAATGCCTGGCTCACAGGGCTGTGGAGAATATTATGTGAAATAAGTTTATAAGGGTCTGGAGCATAAATCCTGACTCAAAATTGCCCACCAACCCCCCTGCTGATATTATTTTCTTTCATTTGTCCACATAATTAAATAAAATGTTACTGCAACAGCTTCAATGTGGCCTTATGGTAGGACATTGAATGAAGAGTCCTAGATGTGGTTTTGTTCTTGCCTCCAGCATTAACATGCTGTGTGACTTTGAGCGAGTCACTTGACCTCTCTGGGTCTCAGTTTCCCAAGGTTTAGAAAGAAAATTGGATGTGATCATCCTAGAGACCTCCTTCAGCCCTTTCTCTGATGCTTTTACTGTGTTATGCTTGACACTGCCTTGTGGAGTTGGGGGCAGGTGGCCTTGATGTATTAGTCTAGCTTCTTTAGAGAAACAGAACCAATAGGGTGTGTGTATGTGTTTGTGGACACACATACACATACACACACATACATATATATAGGGGTAGGGAGATGACACTATACTCATTGAGTTAAAAACTCTGGCTTTAAATATATATATGTGTGTGTGTGTGTGTGTGTGTGTGTGGTGTAAGCATATATACAGGTATACACATATACATACACACATATGGAAAAAGCGGGGAAGGAGGGAGGGAGAGAAAGAGAGAGAGGGAGAGATTATTTTTACAGAATTGGGTCATGCAGTTGTGAGCCTGGCAAGTCCAAAATCCACAGGGTAGACTGGCAGGCTGGAGACCCAGGGAAGAGTTGCCATTTCAGTGTGAAGGCAGCCTGCTGGAAGAACAACTTCTTTTTTAAGGATGGTCAGTCTTTTTCTATTAATACCTTCAACTGATTGAACAAGGCCCACCCACATTATGGAGGGCCATCTGCTTTACTCAAAATCTAATGATTTAAATGCTAATTTCTTCTAGAAGATACCTTCACAGACACTTCTAGAATGTTTGACCAAATATCTGGGTATTGTGGCCTGGCCAGCTTGACATGTAAAATAACCACCACATTGATTACTGCTCAAGGTC